TCTTTGGTGGGGGGAGGAGGGGAGTGAGTGACGTTTCGATGGGCTCATCACGGGTCCCGGCCCATCGGGGCCGCGCGGGCGGGGAGGCAGTTATCGGTGCACCCGTGCCGCTGCCGGCCGGGCCACCGTCGGTGGGGCGCGTGGTGGGTCGGCCGGCTTGCGGCGGAATCGTTTCTCTGCATTCTCGGAGACTGTTTCGCGTTGCTCGAGCTTGGTGAGCCGCGAACGAACACCGCGGGCACGGGCCTGCCCGCTGATCTGCGCCTCGCCGTGGCCTTGCCAAGCTATACCGCCAAGCACAACAAAAGGAGGGTTGGGCTTTATTAGGAATTTAATTAGGTTGCAGTTTTGGTTTGTCACATACACCACGAAAGCCCCCGTTTGGTTTTAATCTGCACGGATGGATATGGATTGCCTTTTCTTTTTTGACAACATTTTTTTAGTGTTTTCTTAACAACATGCATGTGACGTGTTTCTACCCCCGCGGAAGATCATTGGGTCTTTCTCTGGCACCTGTTAGGTGCCGTTGTCACCATAACAAAATGTCAATTCTACATGTTTAGAGCATCTTCAACACTTATATTTGCCTTTGTATATTTGGTTAGGATTGCTAAAAACTGAAGAAAAATAATACAAAGCTTGCTATATTTGCTCCTACACTTATATTTGCAAAGTTAAAAGGCACTTGCTATATTTTTTAGCAGTTCAGTTTTTGTGGTCCCCTACATCCCTTTGTTCCATTGACAAGTGGACCACATCGCCCCCCTAAATTCCTGCTGACCCGCGTCTGGCACCGGTCCCCACGTGTCATTGAGAGGATTGCTAAAATTTTATTTTATAGCAATGCCATTGGAGCAAAAAAAAAGTGTGTTTGCTAAAGCTTATCTCTCTTCTTGCTATACCTAATCTTTAGCAATTCGGTATAGCAATGTTGTTGGAGATGCTCTTAAGTTAATACTTAATTGTTACTCCCTCTGTAAACTAATATAAGAGCGTTTAGATCTAAACGCTCTTATATTAGTTTACAGAGGAAGAACTTAGCAATTTTAGGCAACAATGCGAAATATGAAAGTGAGTCTAACAATTGGTAAGGTGAATCTAGTGTTAAACAATATATTCAACAACACCAAGTGGCAAGGTGAGCAAGCATAATAACATGTAAAGTAAAGACTAGAAGATAAATAATCACAATATGGAGTTAGGGTTAAGGGATAACCATGACTCGGAGAGACAAGGATGTATCCCGATGTTCACTTTCTTAAGAGGGAAGTTAGTCACCGTTGAAGGGGCGGATGTTATCAGAACACCACACCAACGTCACAAAGGCTCACCCTATTCTCCCCTTGAGACAACACCACAAAGGCGTTTCACAACCACGAGCCGTAGATCTTGAGGTGGTCTCCAAACATTTGAAGGAAATATGCCCTAGAGACAATAATAAAGTTATTATTTATTTCCTTATTTCGTGATAAATATTTATTATTCATGCTAGAATTGTATTAACCAGAAACATAATACATGTGTGAATACATAGACAAACAGAGTGTCACTAGTATGCCTCTACTTGACTAGCTCGTTGAATCAAAGATGGTTAAGTTTCCTAGCCATAGACATGAGTTGTCATCTCTACTATTAAAGGATAATCGAACGACGTGATGGTTCGACCTCCCCTCCCATCCCTATCGATACATGCTCCCACCCTCTCGCATCCCGCCGATTTTTTTTATCATCGTAGAAGTTCCACTCCCACGTCCGGTTTAAAGTGATTTAAACCAAAGAAGAAAAGAAACAGCTTACCCACGCACGCAGTCTCCCCTAAGCGTTTACAACCGTCGAACCCAGCCCCCAAAATAGGCACGCACGCCTCCCCTCGCGCGATCTCCACCTCCACTTCATCGGGAGGCGAGACGGCGAGGCACCGATTTGCTAGCCCAAAGGCGAAGATGCCATCGGCAGGGCTCCGAGCCGATCCCATAGCCTCTTCCCCGTTGTCGTCGTCGGCGAGCAGTTCGTCTCCCCTCCTGCGATCTCCATCTCCACTTCATCGGGAGGCGAGACAGCGAGGCACCGATTTGCTAGCTCGAAGGCAAAGTTGCCACCAGTAGGGCTCTGAGCCGATCCCATAGCCTCTTCCCCGTTGTCGTCATCGGCAAGCAGTTCATTCACCAGTTCTAGAACAGGTTTGGCCCACCACGATCTGGGTTGAGCTCCAATGATTCGGCGCAGTGATGGATCCGACCCCTAAACCTAGGTCGCCGCTTCCGTAGGTATGCCTCGTTGGGGCCTTTTGTTAGTGGGAAGGCCCGTGCATGCGGTTGCAGCAAGATAGGAGGCGATGGGACCCTTCTCATCTTTTCTTAATGAAGCGCTTCCATCTTTAACTTCTGCCCAACACCGTTGCCCTTATAATCCTCTTTTGCCAGGTCATCTAGGTTCAACAATTTCAGGCTTGTCCATGGTCGATTTGGACTGGTCAAATTGGTTGCCTTATTTTCTACTACGTTATTTATGGCAAGATTTCACATTCAATTTCTATGCTCAAGTGCTCATTGATGTTATCTGTTAAAGGGTCCGGTTCATTGCAACATCAGCGTGCCTTCATGCTCTCTTCTTCCTTCCACCAATGATATTTATGACTCAACAAAATTCCATACCTTCATGGTCAACGGCTGCATCTGGAATACGTATGTGAATCATATCTTAATATTACTTTAACTCCTCACCTGAAGCTATTCTCCTTATTTCTGCATTTGTCTTGAGCTAATATGGATATGATACATTGTTTTCTTGCTATCTGAACTTCATGACAGAACATTATCACACTGTTGTGATGGATGCTTTTATTTAGGCTAATCTGTGAAATGTTCAGGATGTGTCTGCATAAGCTGTGTTTAATTGACACATGTTTCGAAAGAAACTACATAAATTCATACCTATGGTATATATCCCTTCAGTCCTAGAAGCATGAACGTTCTTGTATGCCAGGTTTTGTTTTATTCAGCAAATGCTAGGAGTTTTTTCCACTTGAAAGTTCTGAATATTATGAACATAAGGGTATATTTTAATATTTTATAGCAGACCAGATTCAGGAAGGACCTCACGAAGGTTGGTCAGCAAGGTGATTATCCTAACAACTATGGTTGTACTAGCAGGATTATCCTAGCAACAAAGCAATGTTTTTATTTAGGTGATTACACAGTTAAGGCATCAGATTTTTTTGTAGATTTTTAGAGTGCCTAGATTGATCAATAGACATCATGATGTTGTAATTCTTGATTTTTTAGGCTTATTCAATTTCTTGCCAAGTTGCAAATTGGAGATAA